AGGAACTCTGCACATACACTTTTTGCCAGGCTTGGAATTATTCTTATTTTCATCTATCTCCTATGTTTCTTCTTCTTCTTCATCCTTCTTCATCCTCATCCCCAGAAGAAAAGAGGCTCAGAGGATGAGGATGAAGGATGAAGAACGAAGAAGACGGTAGGATGAATGAAAAATAAGAATTCCAAACCGGCAAAAAGTGTATGTGCAGAGTTCCTCTATTTCTGACAGTTCTCTGACAGCTTCTTCACATGTACAGCGGTTGAAACATCTGTATCCTAAATGGAAACTAATAGATACAATGTGTTTTCAACCGCTGTACATGTGTTCCTTTCTGTCAGAGAACTGTCAGAAATAACGGAGCTCTCTGCAGGGACACTTTTTGCCGGCTGATCGGGAAAAATCCGATTCGCGCACGGCTACCGTCCTGAAGTAGGCAAATATTCGGATTCGCCGCGAATCGAATTTTTCCTGAAATTCGTATATCGAATTCCGGTTCGCAGCTGGTTCGATTCGCTCATCTCTAGTTATGTCACATGGTATCTTGCGCAGCATTCTTACACAAACAAGATTTTTCAAACACAATGTTTTGGGAAAAAATACACTTTTTTTGAATTTTAATGCACAAAACACAATATAATATCCAATTCCTTTGGTAAAATATAAAATATGATGTTTACGCCAAAGTTAAATAGATACCAGACATGTCACGCTTCAAAATTGCACACGCCTGTGCAATGGCAACCAGACAACGAACATAATTATCATCCATAAGGCGATGCTTTAAAAAACCTTTAAAGGTTACCACTAGAGATGAGCGAATTATTCAAAAATTCGGTTCGGCTGATTCGCCGAATTCGCCGAATAAATGTCGCTTCGAGCCGAATATATTCGCTGCAAATTTAACTTATAAAAAGGGTGTTTTTTCTAGGCTTCAGAGAGCCTTTATATTTACGGAGTAGCAGAAACACTGTACCTTTAATCTTTTAAATGCCCTTGGAGTCTGCTGTACAAAGGGAAGAGAAATAATACTGTCAGTCAGTATGACATGCAGATGAGTGCCGTCGATCTTAGAATCACCGCACACTTCACTCATTTGGGCAGTCACAGGGCCAAAACCAGAGTGTGGAAAAGCCACAGTGTGGCGGTGGAGGCAGCAGCAATGGGAGGCCATACAGCAACCCTATGACAAAATGGAAACCACCAGCAGTGTGAGGAGACCTGAAAGTGGCACATGGCAGAGTGTGGCGATGGAGACAGCAGCAATGGGAGGCCCGTACAGGGGACCCATGAGAGACTCTGGACTTGGCAGCAGTCATGAGGATAGAGGCGGTACGGGGGCCCATTGGCAGATTACGGGGGCCTGGCAGCAGCATGAGGAGTCGGTACGGGGGCCATGGCAGATTACGGGGCCTGGCAGCAGCATGAGGAGGCGGTACAGGGGCCCAAATGGCAGACAGTGGCGGAGCGTAAGCAGCTAAAATTGAAGGCCATACAGAGGCCTATGTTAAAAAGTCCCCCAGCTGCAGCAGCGTGGGGAGACGACTATCAAGAGTCCAATGGCAGAGTGGCAGGAGCAGAAGCAGCTTCAATTGAAGGCCATACACAGGCCTAGGTTTAAAAGTCTCCTCACAGTTAATTCCAAATAACGAACTCTACTCCTCCGTGCAATCTATACTTACGAGACCCTGGGCAGGTCTGGGTCCAATTATGTGGTAGAGACTGGTTTTGTTCAGCCAGCCATGCTTGAGCGAGTAATAACAGGTCAGTGTGCTGCCCTTTGGTGTCTGGCTTAATGCACCACAACACTGAACGTCCCAGCGTATATTTGTCAACGATTTGCCGTTAAGTGATGTAAACGCCGCCGCTGAACCGCACGTATTCATAGAGGAGCCGGTACATAGGGGCCCATGAATCAGTGGCAGCAAGTGTGAGGAGACACCGAAAGTGGCAACATGGCGCGGCAGGGTGTGGCGGTGGAGGCAGCATTATTCTGAAGCCAAACACAGGCCTAGTTTAAAAAGCGGAAGCCGTCAGCAGCGTGAGCAGACGACCAAGACACACTGGCGGCAGGGTGGCGGGTGGAGATGCAGCAGTATTCGGAAGCCAAACAACACGGCCTACGGTTAAAAAAGCGGAAGCCCGTCAGCAACGTCGTGAGCAGGCGACAGAGGCACATGGCGCAGGGTGGCGGTCAGAGGGCAGCAGCAATGGAAGGCACAATAGCAGCACCCTATCACAAAATGGAACCCACCACACACAGTGTAAGGAGACCTGAAAGTGGCACATGGCAGAGTCTGGTGATGAAGTCCAGCAGCAATGGGAGGCCGTACAGGAGACCCATGACACACACTTCTGGACCTGGCAAAAGCAGCAAGAGGAAAGGCGGTACAGGGGGCCCATGGCAGTAGTGGCATAAGCGTAACAGCTTAAATTGAAAGGCCATAACAGAGGCCTAGGTTAAAAAGTCCCCCCAGCAGCAGCGTGGGGAGACGACTATCAAGAGTCCAATGGCAGAGTGGGCGGAGCGGAAGCAGCTTCAATTGAAGGCCATACACAGGCCTAGGTTAAAATGTCCCCCCAGCAGCAGTGTGTGGAGACGACTATCAAGAGTCCAATGGCTGAGTGGCGATCCGGGAAGTCAGCGTTGTGATTTGCAGATGCAAATGCAGAGATTCTATGAGGTGATGCCGTGGGTGCGAAAGAAGATCATATACCGTCGTACTTCCATCCATAAGACAGAACACACCTGGCGAACCGGGAGCTTTATTGCCCTGACCCGCTGAGCAGCTTCTGGGATAGCCCAAGAGTTTGGCTTCTGTGGGGAATATGGTTGAAAACTGAAACTTAAAGGCATGTTGACGGAAGGGCACCAGTGTCAGTGCTCCGGAGGGAATATAGCTTCAAAGCTGACACTTAAAGGTATATCGACGGTCAGAGACCACAGGAAGTGGAGCTTGCGTCTTAAATCGACTGAATGTGGCAGACGTGAAACGTCTACGGGCCGTATATGAAACGGGTTGTTCCTCTTTCTGGAATAAGTGTTGGAAATGGCCACTCTTTTTGGTGTGGCGTTTTGTCTATTTTAATTCCGATAACGGACTCTACTCCTCCGTGCAATCTAGTTACGAGACCCTGGGCAGGTCTGGGTCCAATTTGTGGTAGAGACTGGTTTTGTTCAGCCATGCTTGAGCGAGTAGTAATAACAGGTCTGTGCTGCCCTTTGGTGTCTGGCTTAATGCGCACAACACTGAACGTCCCAGCGTTTGTCAACGATTTGCCGTTAAGTGATGCAAACCCGCTGAACCACGTTCATGAGGAGCCGGTACAGGGGGCCATGAATCAGTATGGACCTGGCAGCAGTGTGAGGAGACCCGAAAGTGGCACATGGCGCAGGGGGTGGCGGTGGAGGCAGCAGTATTCTGAAGACATACACAGGACTAGTTTAAAAAGCGGAAGCCGTCAGCAGCATGAGCAGACGACAGAGGCACATGGCGCAGGGTGGCGGTGGAGGCAGCAGTATTCTGGAAGCCATACACAGGCCTAGGTTTAAAAACTGGAAGACCCAGCAGCGTGAGCAGACGACAAAGACGCACATGGCAGAGGATGGATCTGGCAGCAGTATGAGAAGCGGTACAGTAGGGCCCGTAGGCACAGTGTGGTGATGGGGGCTACAGCAACTGGATGCCAGAAAGTGGCCGATAGGGCTATATTACTGCATGGAATTATAAAGTTGTTAAAGACAGCGCGGCCTATAAGGCTATACACACACTATAACAATCATGACTTGATTGACCATTGTGGCCTATAAGGCTATACACAGCATGAATATCATTGGACTTATTCTGAGAGTGGTTTGGAAGGCTATATACAAAAAGTAATTCATGAGCTGTCCGGACAGCGGACAATAAGTACATATATACAAATCAATTCATCAGCTGTCCAGCCAGCGGCCTCAAAGGCGACACATATAGAAAGCAATTCATGAGCTGTTCAGACAGCGGCCTCTAAGGCGACAGATATACAAAGCAATTCCTGAGGTGTTCAGGGAGCAGCCTAAAACGGCTAGTTATATTACTAAATATATTTTTGTGGCCAAACATCGGCCTATAAATAGATGTCTACACAGTGACAAAAAATTATGTCGCCAGACAGCGGCCCCTAAGGCGACAGATATACAAAGCAATTCCCGAGATGTTCAGTGAGCGGCTTGAACGGCTAGGTTATTACTAAATATATCTTTCTGGCCAAACATCGGCCTATAAATAGATGTCTACACAGTGACAAAAAAGTAGGTCGCCTTACAGCGGCGTATCCTACAAATTGACATTATAAGAAATGGTTTAGACCAAAAAAAAAAAAAAAAAAAACTTTGATGCGATGCTATACCTTAGTAGATTGTGGAAAGTCGACAAGTCAAGCGTAACTGTGTACATTACAGAAAATCTTAACAAGACAACCAAACATGTGGCCAAACCGTGACCGATACAACAAGTTAACAATGTAAGAAACAGGAGGGGGCCAAACCGTGGCCAATAAATAAACAGTCCACCTCAATTGATGAGATGGACAACACGTGTCAAATAAATATTTTAAAAAAATTGCTATTCCATCGGTCTGGAACTGGTCGACTATAAATAATTAAAAAGTTTAAATTCATGTGACAGTCGTCCAGTGACGTATAAATAATTTAAAAACACACCAATTCATGAGGGGCCCGACCAGCAGAGTATAAGTCATTAAAAAGGTTCAATTCATGTGACGGTCGTCCAGCGAAGTATAAATAATTTAAAAAACCCCAATTCATGAGGGGCCCCCGACCTGCAGAGTATAAGTCATTAAAAATGTGCAAAACATGATGAGGTCGGGGCCGACCAGCAGTCCTCTCAATAAAATATATATACAAATGTACGGATCAGGTGGAGGTCTTCCATTTGTCCCTAATAACATGTTTGGGGCATGATTCATGGCGGATTTAGTCAGTTGTGTCAGGAACTGGTGGTTTGAAATCCAGACTAATCCACGCCTGATTCATTTTCACAAACGTGAGTCTCTCCACACTTTGGGTGGACAGTCGTGTCCTCCGCGGAGTTACAATACCTCCTGCCGCACTAAACACGCGCTCCGATGCCACGCTACTGGCCGGGCATGACAGCCTTTCAAGGGCAAATTCAGCTAGTTGGGGCCAAAGGTCAAGTTTCGTTGCCCAGTAGTCAAGGGGATTGTCTACCCTCGGTTGGCAGGGTGCTGTCCAAGTAGGCCCAAGCCTGTTGTTTGAGGTCCTGCTCCAGGTCCACCTGATGCTGCTGCTGCTGCGGCTGGTTAGTAGTTTCCTCACTGCGCTGGTGAAGAAAGCTACTCATCATCGACTGCAGACTGAGGCAGCCGCTGCTGGTGGAGCTGCCACTGCTCCTACCACACCTCCCCACCCCTCCCCTGCTGCCATGGCAGCGGAAACGCGAGCGCACAGGGCCCACAGTGTCTGAGGATGGACGTTGGCGCAGAAAGGCAGAGACCAACTGACTACATAGGTGGTTTTTATAGTACTTTATTTTGGCCTCCCTCTCAGCAGTGTGTGAAAAAGGCCACCATTTTTGAACGGTAGCGAGGGTCCAACAAGGTGGGACAGCCAAAAGTCATCCCTCTGTCTGATGGTTATTATTCGGGCTGTCGCTACGCAAGCAACCGAGCATGCTATGGGCCATTTGTGCCAAGGAATGCGAGGGACTCCCTGCCTCCATCTCCACAGCATACTTGCCACGGTGCGTCTGGGTCCTCTGTCTCCTCCTCCTCCTCCTCCTCTACCAGATGCTCCTGCTCCTCCACTCCTGTCCGCTGAGTGGAAAAACCACCCATTTCACTCAATAATTCCTGAGCACAATGTCCTCCTCTACCCTCCTCCTCTTCTTCCTGTCCTGCCCCCACGGGGTCATGTGGCGTTGAGATCTGTGCGCCACGTCTACCGCACCCTGACCAGCCATTGTTAACAGCATTTGTTCCAGGACGTGCAACAGAGGAATGACGTCGTTCATCCCATAGTCCTGCCGACTCACGAATAGCGTGGCCTCCTCAAAGGGCCTGAGCAAGCGGCAGGTGTCACGCATGAGAGCTGCCAATGGCTGACATCTAAGTTACACAGGGGAGTACCTTTATCCGCTTGTAACATCAGGAAATCGGTGATGGCCTTTCGCTGTTCGTAAAGGCGGTCTACACATATGTAGGGTTGAATTCCACCTTGTTTGCAACGTCGCAGATCAGGCGATGCTGTGGAATTCCGTTCTGCCGCTGCAGCTCAAGGAGGGTGTGCTTTGCGGTGTAGGAATGGCTGAAATGCATGCAAAGTTTACGTGACATTTTTAAGGATGTCTTGCAGTGGGATGGTGGATTTTAGGAACCGCTTGACAACCAGATTGAACACGTGAGCCATGCATGGCGCATGGCACAACCTTCCTTGACGCAGAGCAGACACCATGTTCTTTTCCGTTGTCGGTCAACATGGTTCCGATTTTCAGTTTGCGCGGAGACAGCCATCTGTCGATTTCTCTGTTCATTACACTCAGAAGTTCCTCCCCTGTGTGACTACGTTCGCCAAGGCATACCAGGTGCAGCAGCAGCGTGACACCGTTGCGCCCTGCACATGTGATATGCCGGTCGGGTAATGGGACTTGGCACGGGGGGTGGCGGCTGAGGACACGGCGGGAAGAAGAGGTGGTAGAGGCGGACATCTTTGCTGGACCAAGGACGTGCAAACGTGGAGGCAAAAGCGGCGTGACCTGTCCAAGTTGCTGGTGCGGCTGTGCGGCACCACATGTTCACCCAGTGGGCCGTAAATGACATGTACTGTCCCTGACCGTAGTTACAGCTCCACACGTCGGCGCTGCCGTGCACTTTCGGCAGAGACCGACATGCTCAAAGACTGGCCCACCATCTCTTCTACATGTGAATGCAGGGCTGGCACTGCCTTTTTGGCGAAGAAAATGCCGGCTTGGCACTCTCCACACGCGGCTCGGCACAAGCCATCATTTCTCGGAAAGGTGCTGAGTCCACCACTTGGAAAGGGAGGGACTGCAGCACCAGCAACTTGGGACAGGAGGACGTTCAGCTTCTGCAACCGTCGGGTGCGTGCTCGCAAACTGTTGTCTCTTGGAAACGGATTCCAAGAAAGACTGCTGACGGAATCCGTGAAGAGGAGTAGCAGGAGAAGGAGCATCTGAACGAGCGGAAGATGCCAACGAGCGACAACTCCCCTCAGCAGAGGTGTTGGAGCCTTGACTGGCTGATAGAGGGCGATTGACGTCGGGTGACGGAGCAAGTAACGGAGCGGGTGATGGAGCGGGGGCTGGGGCAGGCAGAACCGCCGTATCTTTATCACGGTTTTCCCAGGCCACCGAATGGCGACGCTGCATATGCTGACGCAACGCTGTAGTCCCAACATTGGCCCCCTGGCCACGCTTGACTTTCTGGCCACATAGTCGACATACGGCTACGTTTACTTCCTCGGGCGGCTTGACGAAAAAATTGCCACACCGCCGAGTAGGAAACTTTGCCCCCCGCTACTCCTCACTGGCTGACTGCTACTTCCTCCGTGCACACCGGCACCACTACTGGCCGTGGTGGTAGGCTGCAGTGGAGCTGGTGCTCTACTCCGTGGCCGTTTGGCTCCACTGACACTGCTGCGACCCTGCTGCCTCCTGGGCAACCCACCGACTGTTTTGCTCGCTGGCAAGCTGGCACCCTCTTCTCCTGATGATGCGCGGAAGCAATAGCCTGATGACGACGACGAGGCTGCCAAGTGCGATCAGCCTCATCATCATCAATTAGGGTCTCCGCCTCACTACTAGCCCCCCCTCGGCTGCGTGTGGGTCAGGAGACAGACCTGTCTCTAGACCGGCTACCGAGCCACTCTCCTCGCCAGTACTTCTTCGCCTGGCTGCTGAAGAGGCGGATGTCTCCCCCCGTTCCTGACCGCCCTCTGTTAGCTCTTCCTCACTGTACAGTGGGGCTGAGCCCACAGCATGCGATACTTCGCTTGGTGAGGGAACACCAAAGGACAGGGCAGGTCGAGGACACGTGATTTCAGTGGGCTTGCTCCCGGGCCATGCCAACTAACGGTTGTGTCTGACGTACCCACCGACCGTTGGCTGTAGGTGTCAGAGGTGACCTGGGAAGATAGGAAGACGACCGAGTCAAACCAATCGATGACGGCAGGGTTGTCGGTGGAGACACGGACGACCGCTGGATGACACCGGGAGCACTGGCCTCTGGCTGCGACTAGTGCTGCCTCGACCCCTTCCTCTGCTGCCACGTCTGCTCGCTCCTGAAACATTGCCTCCTCTGCCACTCCTCTGCGTGTTTGTCTGACATACTCTTTAATTCAATAAGCACCCCAAACATAAAACGGATTTATCTCTTTGAACATACAATAGTGGTTGTGAAGCAAGAAAGTCAGTTTATTTAGCACAATCGGATCAATTGCAGCTTGCCGTTGGCTGGAAACTGTACGTTTAGGTCACTGGAATGCACTAATCACCCAAAAAATATTACCGCCAGCCGGCGTGTAAATGGATTTAACTCTTTGAACGTACAATAGTGGTTGTG